TAAGACCCCTCTAGCGACAAATCTAGTGAGTTTTTCTGGTGTTTTTGGAGACTTTTAGAAGCTTTGGCTACAGCCCTTTTCAAGCACTTTTCTCCTCCCCGAGCAGTGAGCCCCTCCCCCTTCCTAAAGCAGTCCAACTAGAGCCCTAGAGAGATCTGATAGATGTTCATAAAGGAAAAAAAATTACTTATTTTGTTTTTTATTTATGTTGAATTTTTAGTAAGTTTGAATGTCATAGAATAAGTAAAGACATGCAAAGATCATGAAGAAAAGCAATAATTACTTATTTTGTTTTATATTTATGTTCAGTTTTTGGAAAGTTCTGCATGAATGTCATTTTTATATGATGTTGGAAGGCCATGCATAGTTAAAGCACTGTTCTAAGGTTTAAGGAGATTCAAGGAATCAGACAAAGGAAGATATCAGTTGAGTTTGTATTAAAAAAAATGTTAAAAATCAGAATAAAAGCCTTAAAATATATCTATGAAGTTTTCTTAAAACTAATAATAAATCTTGTCTTGTCTCATTCTCACAAACTCAGTATTGTGTCTCGGACAGTGCATATTAATAACATTTCTGTAAATATGCCAGAATTAACCAGGCTAAATTTGCTGAGCTTATTTTCCTGCCTTGTTCACTCAGAAACACATTTTTACCCATCAATTATAGGCCACTGAGCAGCTTTTTTTGGGAAACACTCTATGCTAATTTTCCAAAGTTACCTTTGCAGCAGAGTTGGGTGTGAGTGAGTCATTCCTTTCTCCTTCACAAACTTTCCCAGTGTGACTTCCCGTCTTAATATTTGACTTCACTTTTCAAACAAAAAAAATAAGCTTTTTGACAGCAAATGGACCAAAATAAAATCAACTGTCAGAACGTCTGCATAACAATACTGAGTTTTGCTGAGGTTTGTAGTTGTCATCTATTACTTTCAGTCTTGTCTGACTTGTCAGTTGACCTTTGACAGTTTGGAGTTGCCACAAGTTGGATTTTTTAGAGAGTAGGAGTAAACCAAAACAGTAAAGCATCGCTACACAAACTCTGAAAAATCCTCCTGAAAAAAGGAAAAAATAAAATAAAATAAAAAAACACTAAACCGTTAACTAACAGAAAATGTGTAAATAATGAATCTGCTTCTCCCCTGTAGCAAATGTGATGGAGGAATGGAAATGAAACGGGGTTAATTAAATTGTGTTGAAACTTTGGATCAGCTCAGAGCAGCCTCCATTAGACGCAGATTAAAAATATTTTCTTTCGTAGTTAAAATAAATCTTTACATTGGGCAGAGTTCATTTACAAATCAACATTATTTTTTGGTCACGGCTCATTGGCGGTTATTTGCTTACCAGTTGTTTTCCTTAAATTTGTTTTGATTGATTTCTGCCACCGCTTTGGGCTGCTCGTGTGGAAACAGTCTGTAAGAACGCAGAGTCTCTGGAAAGAAACAGTGATTGAGGAGCGGTTTCTAATAAAGGTATCTGTTGGAGACTTGGCATCACGGTGAGGAAGAATTGTCAGGACTAACCACAGTTTTTTTGTTTTTTTGCTACTGCTCGGGCAGAATAGAAAGGTCAACTCGAGTTCTCACTTTCTAATGGGGTTGTGTTTCACAGCACGTCTTCACAAAGCACAAGCAGCCCTTCCTTCTTCTTTTTCTGCTCGTAATATTTGCGCGGAAGGTAACGGAGAATTCCCAAAACACAGAGCAGCAGCGGATGCTCTTAAAGTCAAACCGATGCATTCACCTCAGTTAATTTAGTCGTAGGGTAAAGCTTGTGTCCTTAGAGACGAGGCGGCGTGTGCGCTTGTGAAGCGCGTCCTCCACCTCTCCTGAATTCCTCAGTCAGAGGAATAACAAGGTGACTCATGGCAACTAGCAGCTGACTTATGTAACAAATGTTATTCTGACTTACCATAAACTAATCAAAGCTTTTGTGCATCAAACAGACAAATGATCTGCTTTCATCCAAGTTTATTTGATCGCCGGTTCATGCTCTATTTTTCACTCAGCAAAACCCACAAGAATGAATATATATAAAAAAAGACTTTTGCAAGATAGTGTCGAAGACATTTGTGTTCATGTATAAAGGGTCTTTTCATAAGCTACTGCAGGCAGAATGTTTAAATTTTTAGCTAAAATTATGCAAGTTTGACAATTGAGGGATTTCTGCATCAATCAGAATTGTTTAGAGCCACAAAATCTAAAGGAAATGACTCCAAATCATCTCAAACTGGTCAATATGTTTCCCTTCTTATGCCGCAGGTTGCAGACTCTTGGTTCAGGCTACCGTATGAAAGATGAATGTGTTATTGGTAGCAGTTACACAACTTCCTTTTTTTTTTTACATGCTGACAGACAGTTTCTACAGTCCAAGAAGCCCTGGTGGCAGCTCAGAGACACAGACAGCTCTTTGGTGGATGTCTTGCATACAGATGATGGAAAGACACATACTCTATTCTATTTTTTTTCCTTTTTCTTCCCATAATGCTGCCTATCTGTTCAGGCTGAAACCGTCCATCCATTTTCTCTACTCGCTGCTTCATTTTGGGATGTGTGGAGCAGGTGCGTATCTCCAACAATCACTGTGCAAGAGATAGGTCTATCACAGGGACACAAACCATTCGCTCACACCTGGAGTTGCCAATTAACCTAACATATACATTTTTTGGTCTGTGGGAGGAAGCTGGAGCATCCAGAGAAAGCACAGGAATGACATGAAGCTCCACCCAGAAAGGCCCAGGGGCCGGGAGGTGAACCTGTGACCTTCTAGCTGAGAGGCAACAGCTCTAACCACTGCTCCGCCATGCCGCCTCCCCGGGCAGATCCCATATGGCTTCAGCCTGCCGGCTTTAGCAAATGTTCAGCATATCAATGCTCAGTTCAGGGCTGTAAAATTTAGAATTTTGGGGTTTCATTTCAGGCTACATGTTTTCATGCTGGATATACTGACTGCATAAAGAGCCACAGCTTTAAAACCACCTGCCCAGTGCTGTATGCATTCCTGCCCAGGCAGCTCTGAACCACGGAGGCTTGGCATGTCCGGTGGGTTCTGACAACAGGATGTTGGCAACGGCTCTTGTGGGTTGTGGCGTGGGGCTTTTGAAGGTTTGTCTAGAGTCTTGATGGAGAGCTCGAACCGCTTTTCAGAGTCTGGATGTTTTGTCAGAGTCGTTGAGCCACTTCTCAAACGAGTTGGATCTGACTCTCAGTCGCCCTGCTTAGGGTGATCCTAAGTGTCAAAAAACTATTTGGACATGAAAGGAAGTTCAATTTCCCTTTGTTTGAACAATTAAACCCACCTGCTTGAGGATGCAAGTGGGTCTTAATTTTAATAAAAATTCAGATGGATTCTTGTAGACAAGACACATCATTTTAGAAACATTGATGCCTGAGTTGTTGCTCATTTTCACTTTGTGCCCTAGAAGCACAAACAAACATTGAATTGTTTTAACCTGTTCATGGTTTGCTTCATTCCTAACCTGTTGGTACTGGTGGTTTGCTAATAACTGAGAGGAAATCAACTGTAAAATCAGTAGTTTTGGTAGGAGCTAAAGCTGTTCTGTGTGTTTTGGTAAATCGACTTCGATATTATTTTCTCCTTGTGGCAGCGCATGATTCTTTGTGTTTTTCTTTAAAGATGTGACCAGTAAAAAATACTTAAAAGCCCGTCATTCCTTCAGTGCATGCTAATCCTTTCCAGTTTCACCTCATTTTCCTTGCTGCCAAGATGCCCGTGTTCCTGTTTCTGTATTAATGGAATCACATTACTAATGTGAGTGGACAATTCGGCAGCATCTGCTTCCTTTTCCCACACCCTTCAGATATCTTGACTTCCTATTTGTCACACTTTCTTAGCTTTGTTGTGTTGTGATGCTTCTGCAGTCACCGCTTTCAGTCATCGGCCTTCGGCAGGGTCAACAGGATGGCGGCCAGCACTTTTTTTCCCTTTTTGTTGTGATGTTTGACATCTTATTGGCTGCCTAAAGAGAGTCTTAGTCCCAATGTGTTCTGTTTCAAGTTGACTTTGTTTAATTTCCTCCAAAAAAGTCAAACATCTGCTTATTTTAGATTGTAACACGTACATTTTCAGTCCACATAAATAACGTTAATCTGTGCCAGACTTCTTATATTTCATGTAAAAGTTTGATGAAAATGCTTAAAGTACCGTATTTATTCAAGTATAATACGTAAAATTAAATCCATAAAATCATCCATAAAGTTGGGGGGTAGTACTATACTCAGATAAATATTTTTACTTATGTATTTTAACTGAAATATCGGCTTCATTCACAAAATGCCCGAGTCCGGAAATGAGACCGCGTCGTAAAAAGCAGTTGACGCGAGCTTACCTGTGACACTCCTTCGTGCCTCAGAGCGAGATAGTAACAGATCCAGGCAGGCGACATGATGTGAAAAAAAGGAAAAAAAAGGCAGTCCTGCAGCTTAGTAATGATAACGAACTAATGACATTAGTGTGTGACCGGGCCGCTGCTGGAACAACAACAAACACATGTTCGTCTGTAATGGCTGCCGTCTACCGGTGTTCTGAAAAAGTTTGTATCCCCGTAAAAACGTTTCCCCACCAGAGGGGGCGCTCGCGAATAGGAAGTAATCTGCTTTTCCCCCACAAGATGGCCCAAATCTCATGTGAAGTCTCTGACTTTTGTGTTTGCGCATCCTGGTGGACTATGTGTAAAATGCCAGAATTCATATGTTGCTGCTATGGCTGATACAGTATACTGTATATTTGTTGTCAAAATACCTTTTAGTACATATGTTGTTAAAATAAAATGAACAGTCCAATGATCTTTTTACTGATATGTATAAAGACTGCAAAGGCTGAAAAATCTTGAAGTATGTATGAAATTGGAGGTAGTTTGAGGATTAAATTTTTTATGCGTTTGAAGCTCAAAAAAGGGGGTCATATTATACATGAGATCGTATTATACACGAATAAATATGGTAGCTTAAAGTAATACTGTATTCTTTTCTTTTTTAGGTGCAGTGTGTGACGTGTAGAAGGATTCGGAGGCTAAAAACCACCAGTTCCTTCCTCGCTGAGTGCTCAGTGGAAAGGTGAGTTCAGACCTGTCACATTTAGACATTTATCCGACATTTTGACATCTTTGAAAAGATGGATGGATTTCTTCAGGTACTTTTATGAGAAGCTGGGGAATAGAAGTTTCTCTAAAAGTTACAGAAAAACTGGTGCCAATGTTAGAAAACCTACAAACATAAAACAAAACTTCACTGGTAGTCTATGTGAGGTCAATAGAAAGCAATATATCTCTCACGCAAGACAAACTTTTCAGTCTATCTCAGTTGGATGAATGATTCACTCCAACTTGGAGTTACTTGAGTGACCGGTGGCCAAATAAGGGGTAACGTTATAGTCAATCAGAGGAGGCTATGCTGCTGCTCGGAAACACTGGTGTAATCCATAAAGACCCTCCGTGCCAACGCTCATCTCCTGTAATTATTCAGCTCTGCAGTGGAGTAAATAAATATCCTCTTAGAATCTGGTTTTATTTTTAAGGGGGACGACTTGTTCTGTCTTCAGCAATGTGACCGTTTTTCAAATCGACTCAAATATCAGGGGATCCTTCAGTCTTCCTCCATCTCTGCGTGTCTTTTCCTCCCGTCTTCTCCGTGTGCCAAAGTGTCAAAACATTTACTCGCCTGTCTGAGGGTCTTTAAGGGGAAGGGATGGAAAAAGATTTATGTGCACCTCTTGTCACTTTATCCCTCAGTTTTCAAAGCAAACAATAAGAGGAGCGCTGGATCTAGAAACAGCGTTGATTTTTAAAACAAAACACACTAAAAATGAAACATTAATTTTGCCATGGTTTTTAAGGAGTTGCTGGAAGTGTATGGGAATAGATTTGAAGAAACATGCAGTATATTAAATTGGTTTACAGTTTTGACCTGGAATTCTTACACATAAACATAAATTAGGCAAATAACATAAAACATTGTTGCTTAGGTTTCATAACAACAGAGCGGAGACTTCTGTAAGGCAGATGTTTACACCATTAATTGAATGAAAACTTGCTGAGTTTGACAAATGGACTGTTTTGGCTCAACTATCTGACCTGGTTAACTTGTTTTAGAGTTGGTTTTGAAAAGAAGTACACAAGTGTGGAGGGACGGTATTTATATTTGGGAGTTTGCAGCCAAATTGGGTTTTGGAAAGTGTTGGATTTGGTGTTTAGGGGACACGATAACGTTATATCTTTGATGTAATGTAACAGTCCTTGTTACCGTTCGGAGCCAGAGATGGCCCATTCGCAGCTGGTGGCATTGACAAGAAGAGACATTTACCGTCCTCCTTGAGCATCTTTGAAACAGTCGCCGTCTTCCTGCTGGGTGCTACAGGGAGCAAACTGTCAGATAGAGGAGGGGTGACCGCTTTGAGAAGATTCTGATCACCGCAGTTCACCGTATGGCAACTGCACCCAGCGGTTCTCCTACAGTGGCCCCCTGCTGTGTTTTTCATTTCTCCCCTGCGGAAAGGTGAAGGAAAAAGAACAAAAAGGACATAAAGCAGATTTAGTAACTTAGTTGTCCTCGTCATCATTTCTTTATTGCAAAAGAGCTGATATTTAATAAAACCTTCCACAACACCATGGGACAAAGTTTTGTTTTTCCTGTAAACACATTTTACATGTTAATTTTTATTATTTCTACAGCTTTTTTTTCTGGTTGTGTCTTTATGGTAGCTCGGAATTTGTTGCCTGTGTTGTTGGAAGCACAGATGGTTGTATTCATGCCCTCCTCCGTTTACCTCTCCCCCATTACTGTAATGAATATTTAGTGCACTGTTGGCAGGACAGCCACTACTCATCCAACTAGAATGTGATGTGCTGCTGCAGGGTAGGACAAGTATTTGACAGCTTTTAGGTCTGCAGTAGTGGATTTTTGTGGACAAATCAGTAAGCTAGCGTTATACAAATGGACCAAAGGATAAAACACATATAATGTTATATAT